CGAGGTATGATAAAGCTCATGGAGCAGGGAGAGAGAGGACCTAGTAGCAATCAGTGAAGAGGCAGGGCCAGGAGCTATGACTCGACCCCTGCAACCACAAATAGGTGAGTACAAACAAACAAATAGGTGAGTACACATGTGAATGACATAATGGAAGGGATAGACTCAGAGGTGTCCCTGTTCACAGATGATGTGAAGTTAATGAGAATTAAATCAGATGAGGATCATCCAGGCCTTCAAAGAGACCTGGACAGGCTGGACACGTGGTCCAGTAACTGGCTTCTTGAATTCAACACTGCCAAATGCAAACTCATGAAGATCGGAGAAGGGCAAAGAAGACTGCAAACAGAGTATAGGCTAGGTGGTCAACGACTGCAAGCCTCGCTCAAGGAGACAGATCTTGGCGTGAGTATGACACCGAACACGTCTCCAGAAGTTCACATCATGCAGATATCTGCTGCAGCATATGGGCGCCTGGCAAACCTGAGATTAGCATTCCAATACCTAAGTAAGGAATCTTTCAAGACACTGTACACCGTGTACGTCGGGCCCATGCTGGAGTATGCAGCACCAGTTTGGAACCCGCACCGGGTCAAGCATGTTAAGAAATTAGAGAAAGTGTTAAGGTTTGTGGCAAGGTAGTTCCAGAGTTAAGGGAAATGTCCTATGAATTTGAAAGGTTGAGGGAAATCGGCCTGACGACACTGGAGGACAGGAGGGATAGGGGAGACATGATAACGATATAAAAAATACTGCGTAGAATAGACAAGGTGGACAAAGACAAGATGTTCCATTGAGGAAACACAGAAACAAGGGGTCACTCTTGGAAGTTGAAGACTCAGATGAGTCACAAGGATGTTAGGAAGCAGTTCTTCAGTCATAGTGTGGTCAGGAAGTGGAACAGTCTGGCAAGCGATGTAGTGGTGGCAGGAACCATACATAGCTTTAAGACGAGGTATGATAAAGCTCATGGAGCAGGGAGAGAGAGGACCTAGTAGCGTTCAGTGAAGAGGCAGGGCCAGGAGGCGAGTCTCGACCCCTGCAACTACAGTTAGGTGAGTACACACTCACACACAAAAAACACAGGATGTTCCAGAGATGGGACACCCAACACCCAGCTATAGAATCCCACAGTGTGCTGCCAGGTCTCCCACCCTCACAGGCCCCCAAACCACAGTGTTGGAAAGGAAACTGAAGGTATGGTACACAAATGCTGATGGAATAACAAATAAGTGGGAGTGGCACGAAAGAGTCAGAGGCATCACCGGACATCATAGCTCTCACAGAAACCAAGCTTACGTGTATGAAAACAGATGCCATCTTTCCAACAGGATACCAGATCCTGAGGAAAGACAGAGGGAACAGGGGAGGTGGAGGAGTGGCACTGCTGATCAAAAACCGATGGAATTTTGATGAGCTGAAGAGAGGAGACAGCGGAGAAACAAGCGATTACATAGCGGAATGCTTCACTCTGGAGGTCCCAAGGTGGTAATTGCAGTGATGTATAACCCACTACAGAACAGCAGGAGGCCAAGGCAAGAGTATGACGAGAGCAATAGAGCGATGGTTGACACACTGACTGCAGTGGCCAGAAGAGCTCATGCATGCAGGGCAAAGCTCCTGATCATGGGTGACTAACCACAAGGAGATCGATTGGGAGAACTTGGAGCCACATGGGGGCCAAGATACATGGAAGGCTAAGATGATGGAGGTGGTACTGGAAAACTTCATGTACCAACATGTAAGGGACACTACAAGAGAGAGAAGAGAGGATGAACCAGCAAGACTGGACCTAGTATTCACCTTGAGTAGTGCAGATATCGAGGACATCACATATGAAATAGTGCAGATATCGAGGACATCACATATGAAAGACCCCTTGGGGCCAGCGATCATGTGGTTTTAAGCTTCGAATACACAGTAGAGCTACAAGTGGAGGGGGAAGTCAAACTACAAGAAAGGGGACTACACGGGAATGAGGAACTTCCTGAACGGGGTTGAATGGGACAGAGAACTGGCAGGGAAGCCAGTTAATGAGATGATGGAATATGTAGCAATGATGTGCAAGGAGGCTGAGGAAAGGTTTGTACCCAAGGTTTACAGGAATAATGAAAAAGCCAGGTTGAGCCCATGGTTCACCCAAAGGTGCAGGGAGGCAAAAACCAAGTGTACTAGGGAATGGAAGAAATATAGAAGGCAAAGAACCCAGGAGAATAAGGAGAGCAGTCGTAGAGCCAGAAATGAATATGCACAGATAAGAAGGGAGGCCCAACGACAATATGGAAACGACATAGCAGCGAAAGCCAAATCTGACCCGAAGCTGTTATACAGCCACATCAGGAGGAAAACAACAGTCAAGGACCAGGTAATCAGGCTAAGGAAGGAAGGAGGAGAGACAACAAGAAATGACCGTGAAGTATGTGAGGAACTCAACAAGAGATTCAAAGAAGTGTTCACAGAGACAGAAGGGGCTCCAGAAAGACGGAGAGGTAGGGCACACCACCAAGTGCTGGACACAGTACACATAATCGAGGAAGAAATGAAGAGGCTTCTGAGTGAGCTAGATACCTCAAAGGCAATGGGGCTGGATAACTTCTCTCCATGGGTCCTGAGAGAGGGAGCAGAGGTGCTATGTGTACCCCTAACAACAATATTCAATACATCTATCGAAACAGGGAGATTGCCTGAGGCATGGAAGACAGCAAATGTAGTCCCAATATTTAAAAAAGGAGACAGACATGAAGCACTAAACTACAGACCAGTGTCTGGAAAAGATTATCAGGAGAAGAGTGGTGGAACACCTATTCAATTCAATTCAATTCAGTTCATGTTTATTCTCTATAAGGGTTACAATGTGGGGGTTACAGGTTTTGGGTATTGTGTGGTTTACATGTTATAAAATACTAATTACAGAGGGGGCCACTGGGACACCTAGCATGGCTAGGTATTTCGGGCAGGAATGATCTCATCAACAGCATCCAACATGGTTTCAGGGACGGGAAATCCTGTGTCACAAACCTACTGGAGTTCTATGACATGGTGACAACAGTAAGACAAGAGAGAGAGGGGTAGGTGGATTGCATTTTCTTGGACTGCAAGAAGGTGTTTGACACAGTTCCACACAAGAGATTAGTGCAAAAACTGGAGGACCAAGCAGGGATAACAGGGAAGGCACTACAATGGATCAGGGAATACTTGTCAGGAAGACAGCAGCGAGTCATGGTACGTGGCGAGGTGTCAGAGTGGGCACCTGTGACCAGCGGGGTCCCACAGGGATCTGTCCTAGGACCAGTGCTATTTCTGGTATTTGTGAACGACATGACGGAAGGAATAGATGCCGAAGTGTCCCTGTTTGCAGATGACATGAAGTTGATGAGAAGAATTCATTCGATCGAAGACCAGGCAGAACTACAAAGGGATCTGGACAGGCTGCAGACCTGGCTCAGCAGTTGGCTCCTGGAGTTCAACCCCACCAAGTACAAAGTCATGAAGATTGGGGAAGGGCAAAGAAGACTGCAGACGGAGTACAGTCTAGGGGGCCAGAGACTACAAACCTCGCTCAAGGAAAAAGATCTTGGGGTGAGTATAACACCAGGCACATCTGAAGCGCACATCAACCAAATAACTGCTGCAGCGTATGGGTGCCTAGCAAACCTCAGAACAGCATTCCGACATCTTAATAAGGAATCGTTCAGGACCCTGTACACTGTGTACGTTAAGCCCATATTGGAGTATGCGGCATCAGTTTGGAACCCACACCTTGCCAAGCACGTAAAGAAACTAGAGAAAGTGCAAAGGTTTGCAACAAGACTAGTCCCAGAGCTAAGAGGTATGTCCTACGAGGAGAGGTTAAGGGATATCAACCTGACGACACTGGAGGACAGGAGAGATAGGGGGGACATGATAACGACATACAAAATACTGAGAGAAATTGACAAGGTGGACAAAGACAGGATGTTCCAGAGATGGGACACAGCAACAAGGGGACACAGTTCATAGATAAAAAAAAAATTGGACATGAAATATGGGTTGTAAAATTAAGGTTGTACTCATAATGGGATGCATTGAACTTACCACAGTTCTTCAGAAGACTTATTCACTGTATTTAACATGATTTTATATTGTTGATATGTCAGATTGGGAACCCTCTGTTGCATAAGGGTGTGTTTTTTCCCCAATATGCTGGCCATCTCCCACCAAGGCAAGGTGATCCAAAAAAGAAACACTTCATCATCATTCACACAATCACTGTCTTTGCAGAGGTCCACAGATATGACCGTTCAGATGTCACTCCAAACAGCAAATATCCCAAACACCTCCTTAAAGTGCAGGCACTGTACTTCCCACCTTCAGGACTCAAGTCTGGCTAACCAGTTTCTCCTGTATTCCTTCACAAAATATTACCCTGCTCACACTCCAACAACTCATCAAGTCCCATAAACCATTTGTGTCTATTCACTCCTATCTAACATGCTCACACATGCCTGCTGTTTGTCCAAGCCCCTTTCACACAAAACCTCTTTTACCCCCTCTCTCCATTCTTTCCTAGCATTATAATGCTGGAATTGTGTGTGTACCTGTTCACTGTCTAATTGTATTTAGTCTCTTTCCCTCATATGTTGTTAGAGTTGGCGAAGTTAGGAATCTGCTCATGTTTTTAAGTATCCGTTTAAAGCATATATTATTTTTAGATCTTATGATTGTAATGATCATAATGTTGCTCTTGAATATAAACTTTAGCATCTCTTCATCATTGTTGTTACAGTTATGGCTTGGTGTGCAAGAGCTTGTGAATTTCTTGATCCAAAAAAGAAACACTAACCATTATTCACACCATCACTGTCTTGACAGAGGCGCATAGATATGACAGGTTCAGATGTCCCTCCAAACAGCAATATCCCCAATCCTCCTTTAGAATGCAGGCACTATACTTCCCACCTCCAGGATTCAAGTCTGGCCAACCAGTTTCCCTGAATTAATATAGTTATATTTTCTTTCAGGGAAGGGGACGAATCTGGCGGTGATGACGACGATGATGATGATGTACACAAGCGGCATCGTTCTCGGAGGGAGGAGTGGGAATCAGACATTGGAAAAGTTGTTTGTGTTGAACTTGGAGATAAGAAAAAACAAAAGGATAATTGGTTCCCTGGATTAGTTGTTGCACCTACATCCCAAGACTCTGTCAAGATTGAGACAAAAAAAGATTATCTTGTCAGATCTTTCCAGGATGGGAGATAGTAAGTAGAGTTTATCTTGTGTGATCAACTTCATTTCCTTGGTTATTTTTCCTGATGGTAACTTCTCTTTTTTTCAGTCAGAGCTTTAGTTTTCTGCAGCTTAGTTAATTTTTGTCTTGCTTCTTTTTAAAAGCAACTTAATATTGTGTAATATTTATGACATGGAGAGCATTTAAATCCATAGGAGAAGGAAGGCAGGGTAGGGGTCGTCCTCGAAAAGGTTGGAAGGAAGGTAAGGGAGGTTTTGTGGGCGAGGGGCTTCGACTTCCAGCAGGCGTGCATGAGCGTGTTCGATAGGAGTGAATGGAGACGAATGGTATTTGGGACCTGACGATCTGTTGGAGTGTGAGCAGGGTAATATTTAGTGAAGGGATTCAGGGAAACCGGTTATTTTTATATAGCCAGACTTGAGTCCTGAAAATGGGAAGGACAATGCCTGCACTCTAAAGGAGGGGTTTTGGGATATTAGCAGTTTGGAGGGATATGTTGTGTATCTTTATACGTACATGTATATGCTTCTAAACTGTTGTGTTCTGAGCACCTCTGCAAAAACAGTGATTATGTGTGAGTGAGGTGAAAGTGTTGAATGATGATGAAAGTATTTTCTTTCTTTTTGGGTCACCCTGCCTCAGTGGGAGATGGCCGACTTGTTGAAAAAGTATTAGTCAGAGGGCAGAAGAGGGGTTGTTGAGGTGGTTTGGTCATTTAGAGAGAATGGATCAAAGTAGAATGACATGGAAAGCATATAAATCTATAGGGGAAGGAAGGCGGGGTAGGGGTTGTCCTCGAAAGGGTTGGAGAGAGGGGGTAAAGGAGGTTTTGTGGGCAAGGGGCTTGGACTTCCAGCAAGCGTGCGTGAGCGTGTTAGATAGGAGTGAATGGAAACGAATGGTACTTGGGACCTGACGATCTGTTGGAGTGTGAGCAGGGTAATATTTAGTGAAGGGATTCAGGGAAACCGGTTATTTTCATATAGTTGGACTTGAGTCCTGGAAATGGGAAGTACAATGCCTGCACTTTAAAGGAGGGGTTTGGGATATTGGCAGTTTGGAGGGATATGTTGTGTATCTTTATATGTGTATGCTTCTAGACTGTTGTATTCTGAGCACCTCTGCAAAAACAGTGATAATGTGCGAGTGTGGTGAAAGTGTTGAATGATGATGAAAGTATTTTCTTTTTGGGGATTTTCTTTCTTTTTTTTGGGTCACCCCGCCTCGGTGGGAGATGGCCGACTTGTTGAAAAAAAAAAAAAAAAAAAATCTCCCATATCTTTCTATTTTGTTGGCCTTTTTTTGTCTTCATATTTAATTAATGCCTTTTATATTTTCATAAGTTCAGTAATTGAATGAGTTTAATCATCTTCAGTTACACAGTACCAAAGAAGGAAGCGTCACCTTTTAGTCGTGAAGTTGGCAGTAAGGTTTCTCAGAGTGCTCTGAAGATAGCTGTTGAAAAGGCTCTTCTCTTCATGACAAATGACGAGCTACCACCCCATTGGGATCGGGATTTACTCTTTGGCATGGATGTATCTGATGATGATTCAGATAGGGATGGATCGGACTCTGATGTAAGTATATTAAGTATTGTTGGATGCACTTGACAAGATGCTAGTGAAAGGTTCTTGATCAAAGATATTGAAGTTACCCTTGTGTAGATCAAACCTGATAATATCTCTCCAGTTGTACAGGATTTAGCACTCCATCATGAACATTGTTCATAAACTGTAACATGTTTCACTTTTAGCCACATCCATATTCGTGACTAAAATCACGACTTGTTTACCAGAGTTCAGATGATGAGCCCAGAGAAGAAAAGGACCACTTTGTTGCTCAGCTCTACAAGTTTATGGAAGAATGTGGAGCTCCAATCAACAGTGGACCAACTGTAGGCAATAAAGATCTAGATCTTTATAAATTATTTAAGGTAGTGTCATGTAGTGTAAATTTTACTTATTTATTCAGCTGTTACAAAACATTATAGGATAATCAGCTCTAAGTGCTTCTAATATCATATCATTATATATTACCCTGTAATGCAGTTCAGATATAGAAATGGTAAAGTATCTGAATACATATGCACATAGGTAATCATTTTCATACATTGACTCTTGAAACTTCAGTGTGTCACGATTGCTATTTCAGTCGAGGGTAATGTGTTGTGAAGAAATAATGCAACAAAGTGAAAAACAAAATGGGATGTGATCATGTCATGTAAAATACCAGAGGTCATAGACAAGGTAGACAAGGATAAAGTGTGTACCAGAGTTATAACAAGCAGACATGCTTGCAAATTATTCATACAAATGAACCATCAGGAAAATAGGAAGTAAATGGCCAATGTGTTTAAAAAATGTTTTAGTCTAATATGGTAAATTATGTATAGTATAGATGGGACCAGTTTCAGGCTGATTGGCCACTTGGTCCACCAGGCTTCAGGCTACTAGTACCAACAGCTTGGTGGACCAGGCAGTCAACAAGGAGAACTGACCTCAGTCTTGGCTGCTAGGACAGAAAAATCCTCAAAACTGGTGAAAGGTATACAAGAGGTGTGGTGTAAGAAAATGTGTGTAATTTGCAAGTAATGATTTGTGGTTGGCAGGTTGTTCAGAAGCTTGGAGGCTTCAACCGTGTGATGAACCAGAACCAGTGGAAGGTGGTGGCTAACAAGATGCAGCTCCACAGTCTTGGCTCCCAGGCTCCCAACCACATTAAGGCTGCCTATAAAAGGTGAATTACGTGATGTTATATATCTGGTCAACTCGCCTGAATGCTTCGATGAACTTAGCAATCCAGTTTTCTGTATAAATAAATGAAAATTTTGGAAAAATTGTAGATATAGTTTATACTGTGACGAATATAAGCTTCTTCAATTATTTTGATTATGACATTTGTATTACAATGGTAACTTAGTCATGATAGTAAATTGTTATTGATTGTAGCAAATTGATATAATAGTTGAAAATTGGTGAAGATGGTAGTGGAGTATTAATAATGTTAGCAATTGTTGATATTAAAAGTAATGAATAAACAAACTTTTCTAGTACTTTGTAAATCATTCAATTTTGATTTCATTTTTCTCTTTATTACTTAAAGTAAAATGAACAAATATCCTCTAGTTCTTGGCATTTTAATTGCCTTTTATGATACATATATCTATGTGTAGTTCCTTTATATAAAGGGAAGGGGGACAGAAGAGATTGTAAAAATTATAGGGGAATATGTTTACTGAGTATACCAAAAAAAAAGTGTACAGTAGGGTCCTTGGCCCTCTTCTCTTTCTCCTATACATAAATGACCTACGAAATGCTTTGCAATTACTCAAACCCACACTTTTTGCAGATGACACTACATACGTCTTCTCTCACCCGAGCCCAGTCATGCTAGCCAATACTGTAAACACCGAATTACAGAAAATATCTACCTGGATGAGGACTAACAAACTTACACTAAACATTGACGAAACCTACTTCATTCAGTTTGGTAACAGAGCTACAGATGTACCTCTTAACATAACGATAAACAGATCACCTATCACAAAGCTAACAGAGGGAAAATTCTTAGGAATCCACCTTGATAATAGATTCAAATTTCATACACACATACAACAAATTTCTAAGAAAATTTCCAAGACTGTAGGTATACTATCGAAGATACGGTACTATGTTCCACAGTCAGCCCTCCTGGCCCTTTATCACTCTCTTATTTACCCCTATCTCACCTATGGAATTTGTGCATGGGGCTCAACAACAATTAACCATCTCAGACCACTAATTACCCAACAAAAGGTTGCAGTTAGAATGATGATAAATTCTCACTACAGGCAGCACACTCCACCAATATTCAAAACACTCAACCTACTCACCATACAAAACATCCATACTTATTACTGCACCTATTACATACATAGAACACTTAACTCTGATATTAACCCTCCCCTCAAACATCTCCTTGCCAACCTCAACAGAACACATGACCATAACACAAGGCACAGATCACTCTTTGATGTTCCTCGTGTCCATCTCACGCTATGCAAAAACTCAATGCACATAAAAGGCCCTAAAATCTGGAATTCATTACCTGTAAATATAAAAGAAACACTACCTGTTTATAAATTCAAGTCTCTTCTCAAAGATCACTTACTCACTCAAAACCAAATAAATACTGAATAACTGAACCTTATAAATTGTATATCCTATATGTTACTCACAAATTATATCACACTAATGTTAAACCTAGGACCCAATCTAACTTTATTTTTTTAAATACACTACCTAACAAAATACTCCATTCGACTGAATGTACAGCAATGCATGCAACCATATGACCTGTCTTAGTAATACTCATTTGTGCTTTATAGTTATCTGTTTACAATAATGTTTTATCGCTGATTTCATCATTGCTTAGTTAATCTTAAGTTAATTTTAAGCCAGCCCGTAATGCTATGCTTATAAGTGGCTTTGGCATGCTGCTCTTACCTGTATTTTTTGTACCTCTGTATGTATGCTTAAATTACTAAATAAATAAATAAATAAATAAAGAGGTAAGACGAGTAGTAATATTGCAGATGAGCAAGGAGGCTTTAGAGTGGGTAGGGGATGTGTAGATCAAGTGTTTACATTGAAGCATATATGTGAACAGTATTTAGATAAAGGTAGGGAATTTTCATTGAATTTATGGATTTAGAAAAGGTATATGATAGTGGATAGGGGAGCAATGTGGCAGATGTTGCAAGTATATGGAATAGATAGTAAGTTACTAAATGTAGTAAAGAGTTTTTACGAGGATAGTGAGGCTCAGGTTAGGGTGTGTAGAAGAGAGGGAGACCACTTCCCGGTAAAAGTAGGTCTTAGACAGGGATGTGTAATGTCACCATGGTTGTTTAATATATTTCTAGATGGGGTTGTAAAAGAAGTAAATATTAAGGTATTGGAGAGAGGGGTGGGATTGAATTATGGGGAATCAAATACAAAATGGGAGTTGACAGTTACTTTTTGCTGATGATACTGTGCTTATGGGAGATTATAAAGAAAAGTTGCAAAGGTTAGTGGATGAGTTCGGGAGTGTGTAAAGGTATTAAGTTGAAAGTGAACATAGATTAGAGTAAGGTGATGAGGGCATCAAATGATTTAGGTAAAGAAAAATTGGATATCAAATTGAGGAGAAGGAGTATGAAAGAAGTGAATGTTTTCAGATACTTGGGAGTTGATGTGTCGGCAGATGGATTTATGAAGGATGAGGTTAATCATAGAATTGATGAGGGAAAAAAGGTGAGTGGTGCGTTGAGGTATATGTGGAGTCAAAAAATGTTATCTATGGAGGCAAAGAAGGGAATGTATGAAAGTATAGTAGTACCAACACTTACATGGGTGTGAAGCTTGGGTTGTGAATGCAGCAGCGAGGAGACGGTTGGAGGCAGTGGAGATGTCCTGTCTAAGGGCAATGTGTGGTGTAAATATTATGCAGAAAATTCGGAGTGTGGAAATTAGGAGAAGGTGTGGAGTTAATAAAAGTATTAGTGAGAGGGCTGAAGAGGGGTTGTTGAGGTGGTTTGGTCATTTAGAGAGAATGGGTCAAAGTAGAATGACATGGAGAGCATTTAAATCGGTAGGAGAAGGAAGACGGGGTAGGGGTCATCCTCGAAAAGGTTGGAAGGAAGGGGTAAGGGACGTTTTATGGGCGAGAGGCTTTGACTTCCAGCAGGCGTGCACGAGCGTGTTCGATAGGAGTAAATGGAGACAAATGGTATTTGGGACCTGACGATCTGTTGGAGTGTGAGCAGGGTAATATTTAGTAAAGGGATTCAGGGAAACCGGTTATTTTTATATAGCCGGACTTGAGTCCTGGAAATGGGAAGTACAGTGGACCCTCGACTAACGCTATTAATCCGTTCCTGAGAGCTCATCGTTAGTCAAAATTATAGTTAGTCAAGTTAATATTCTCCATAAGAAATAATGGAAATCAAATTAATCCGTGTAGGACACCCCAAAGTATGAAAAAAAAAATTGTTTTTACCACATGAAATATTAATTTTAATACACACAAACTGAAGAAGACATGCACAGTTACATGACACTTACCTTTATTGAAGATCTGGTGATGATTGATGGGATGGGAGGAGGGGAGAGTGTTGATGGTGTTAGTGTTTAGAAGGGGAATCCCCTTCCATTAGGACTTGAGGTGGCAAGTCCTTTTCCGGGGTTACTTCCCTTCCCTTTAAATCTCTCAAACCAACCTTTGCTGGCCTTAAATTCACTCACATCACCACTAGTTGCTGGCATTTTTTCCATTAAATCGTCATGCAACTTCCTAGCCTTTTCACATATGATCGCTTGAGAGATGCTATCTCCTGCTATCTGTTTTTCGTTTATCCACACCAATAACAGTCTCTCAGCATCTTCGAGTACTTGCGATCTCAGTTTCGAAAACATAGTTGCACCTTTGGCAAGAACAGCTTCCTTGATTGCCGTTTTCTTGCCCACAATAGTAGCGATGGTTGATTGGGGTTTTGTGTACAACCTGGCCAGCTCGGAGACACGCACTCCACTTTCATACTTAGCAATGATCTCTTTCTTCATATCCATAGTAATTCTCACCCTTTTTGCTGTAGGGTTGGCACTAGAAGATTTCTTGGGGCCCATGGTTACTTATTTTGCAGGTGCAATCACTAAAACGGCTGTGATAACATGAAATGTTCTGATTGTATGCTTGGAAGCGACCGCGGTGGCTGGCTGGCTTGTAAACATTGGCCAGAAGTGGACGCGTCTTACGGAACGAATAGTGTTGGTCGAGTTTTTTAGCGCTAGTCGAGGCAAAATTTTTGCGTTAAAATGTATCGCTAGCCGGATTTATCGTTAATCGATGCCATCGTTGGTCGAGGTCCACTGTACAATGCCTGCACTCTAAAAGAGGGGTTTCGGGATATTAGGGATATGTTGTGTATCTTCATACGTATATGCTTCTAAACTGTTGTGTTCTGAGCACCTCTGCAAAAACAGTGACTATGTGTGAGTGAGGTGAAAGTGTTGAATGATGATGAAAGTATTTTCTTTTTGGGGATTTTCTTTCTTTTTGGGTCTCCCTGCCTCTGTGGGAGACGGCCGACTTGTTAAAAAAAATAAATAAATAAAAGTGCAAAATAGGATAAATTGGAGGGTGTATAATTGGAGGTAGTAGGTTGGTAGACAGCAACCACCCAGGGAAGTACTACTGTCTTGCCAAATGACTGTGAAACAGAAACCTGTAACTGTTTTGCATGATGGTAGGATTGCTGGTGTCTTTTTCTGTCTCATAAACACGCTAGATAACAGGGATATCTTGCTACTCCAACTTACACTTTGGTCACACTTCACAGACATGCACATGCATATATATATACATACATCTAGGTATTGGCAGTTTGGAGGGATATGTTGTGTATCTTTATGTGTGTATGCTTCTAGACTGTTGTATTCTGAGCACCTCTGCAAAAACAGTGATAATGTGCGAATGTGGTGAAAGTGTTGAATGATGATGAAAGTATTTTCTTTTTGGGGATTTTCTTTCTTTTTTTTGGGTCACCCTGCCTCGGTGGGAGATGGCCGACTTGTTGAAAAAAAAAAAAAAAAAATCTAGGTTTTTCTCCTTTTTCTACATAGCTCTTGTTCTTCTTTATTTCTTCTATTGTCCATGGGGAAGTGGAAAAGAATCTTTCCTCCGTAAGCCATGCGTGTCGTATGAGGCGACTAAAATGCCGGGAGCAATGGGCTAGTAACCCCTTCTCCTGTAGACATTTACTAAAAAAGAGAAGAAGAAAAACTTTATAAAACTGGGATGCTTGAATGTGCGTGGATGTAGTGCAGATGACAAGAAACAGATGATTGCTGATGTTATGAATGAAAAGAAGTTGGATGTCCTGGCCCTAAGCGAAACAAAGCTGAAGGGGGTAGGGGAGTTTCGGTGGGGGGAAATAAATGGGATTAAATCTGGAGTATCTGAGAGAGTTAGAGCAAAGGAAGGGGTAGCAGTAATGTTAAATGATCAGTTATGGAAGGAGAAAAGAGAATATGAATGTGTAAATGCAAGAATTATGTGGATTAAAGTAAAGGTTGGATGCGAGAAGTGGGTCATAATAAGCGTGTATGCACCTGGAGAAGAGAGGAATGCAGAGGAGAGAGAGAGATTTTGAGAGATGTTAAGTGAATGTATAGGAGCCTTTGAACCAAGTGAGAGAGTAATTGTGGTAGGGGACCTGAATGCTAAAGTAGGAGAAACTTTTAGAGAGGGTGTGATAGGTAAGTTTGGGGTGCCAGGTGTAAATGATAATGGGAGCCCTTTGAACTTTGTATAGAAAGGGGTTTAGTTATAGGTAATACATATTTTAAGAAAAAGAGGATAAATAAGTATACAAGATATGATGTAGGGTGAAATGACAGTAGTTTGTTGGATTATGTATTGGTAGATAAAAGACTGTTGAGTAGACTTCAGGATGTACATGTTTATAGAGGGGCCACAGATATATCAGATCACTTTCTAGTTGTAGCTACACTGAGAGTAAAAGGTAGATGGGATACAAGGAGAATAGAAGCATCAGGGAAGAGAGAGGTGAAGGTTTATAAACTAAAAGAGGAGGCGGTTAGGGAAAGATATAAACAGCTATTGGAGGATAGATGGGCTAATGAGAGCATAGGCAATGGGGTCGAAGAGGTATGGGGTAGGTTTAAAAATGTAGTGTTAGAGTGTTCAGCAGAAGTTTGTGGTTACAGGAAAGTGGGTGCGGGAGGGAAGAGGAACGATTGGTGGAATGATGATGTAAAGAGAGTAGTAAGGGAGAAAAAGTTAGCATATGAGAAGTTTTTACAAAGTAGAAGTGATGCAAGGAGGGAAGAATATATGGAGAAAAGAGAGAGGTTAAGAGAGTGGTGAAGCAATGTAAAAAGAGAGCAAATGAGAGAGTGGGTGAGATGTTATCAACAAATTTTGTTGAAAATAAGAAAAAGTTTTGGAGTGAGATTAACAAGTTAAGGAAGCCTAGAGAACAAATGGATTTGTCAGTTAAAAATAGGAGAGGAGATTTATTAAATGGAGAGTTAGAGGTATTGGGAAGATGGAGGGAATATTTTGAGGAATTGTTAAATGTTGATGAAGATAGGGAAGCTGTGATTTCGTGTATAGGACAAGGAGGAATAACATCTTGTAGGAGTGAGGAAGAGCCAGTTGTGAGTGTGGGGGAAGTTCGTGAGGCAGTAGGTAAAATGAAAGGGGGTAAGGCAGCTGGGATTGATGGGATAAAGATAGAAATGTTAAAAGCAGGTGGGGATATAGTTTTGGAGTGGTTGGTGCAGTTATTTAATAAATGTATGGAAGAGGGTAAGGTACCTAGGGATTGGCAGAGAGCATGCATAGTTCCTTTGTATAAAGGCAAAGGGGACAAAAGAGAGTGCAAAAATTATAGGGGGATAAGTCTGTTGAGTATACCTGGTAAAGTGTATGGTAGAATTATTATTGAAAGAATTAAAAGTAAGACTGAGAATAGGATAGCAGATGAACAAGGAGGCTTTAGGAAAGGTAGGGGGTGTGTGGACCAGGTGTTTACAGTGAAACATATAAGTGAACAGTATTTAGATAAGGCTAAAGAGGTCTTTGCGGCATTTATGGATTTGGAAAAGGCGTATGACAGGGTGGATAGGGAGGGCAATGTGGCAGATGTTGCAGGTGTATGGTGTAGGAGGTAGGTTGCTGAAAGCAGTGAAGAGTTTTTACGAGGATAGTGAGGCTCAAGTTAGAGTACATAGGAAAGAGGGAAATTATTTCCCAGTAAAAGTAGGCCTTAGACAAGGATGTGTGATGTCACCATGGTTGTTTAATATATTTATAGATGGGGTTGTAAGAGAAGTAAATGCGAGGGTCTTGACAAGAGGCGTGGAGTTAAAAGATAAAGAATCACACATAAAGTGGGAGTTGTCACAGTTGCTCTTTGCTGATGACACTGTGCTCTTGGGAGATTCTGAAGAGAAGTTGCAGAGATTGGTGGATGAATTTGGTAGGGTGTGCAAAAGAAGAAAATTAAAAGTGAATACAGAAAAGAGTAAGGTTATGAGGATAACAAAAATATTAGGTGATGTAAGATTGGATATCAGATTGGAGGGAGAGAGTATGGAGGAGGTGAATGTATTCAGATATTTGGGAGTGGACGTGTCAGCGGATGGGTCTATGAAGGATGAGGTGAATCGTAGAATTGATGAGGGGAAAAGGGTGAGTGGTGCACTTAGGAGTCTGTGGAGACAAAGAACTTTGTCCTTGGAGGCAAAGAGGGGAATGTATGAGAGTATAGTTTTACCAACATTCTTATATGGGTGTGAAGCATGGGTGATGAATGTTGCAGCGAGGAGAAGGCTGGAGGCAGTGGAGATGTCATGTCTGAGGGCAATGTGTGGTGTGAATATACTGCAGAGAATTCGTAGTTTGGAAGTTAGGAGGAGGTGCGGGATTACCAAAACTGTTGTCCAGAGGGCTGAGGAAAGGTTGTTGAGGTGGTTCGGACATGTAGAGAGAATGGAGCGAAACAGAATGACTTCAAGAGTGTATCAGTCTGTAGTGGAAGGAAGGTGGGGTAGGGGTCAGCCTAGGAAAGGTTGGAGGGAGGGGGTAAAGGAGATTTTGTGTGCTAGGGGCTTGGACTTCCAGCAGGCGTGCGTGAGCGTGTTTGATAGGAGTGAATGGAGACGAATGGTTTTTAATACTTGACGTGCTGTTGGAGTGTGAGCAAAGTAACATTTATGAAGGGGTTCAGGGAAACCGGCAGGCCGGACTTAAGTCCTGGAGATGGGAAGTACAGTGCCTGCACTCTGAAGGAGGTGTGTTAATGTTGCAGTTTAAAAACTGTAGTGTAAAGCACCCTTCTGGCAAGACAGTGATGGAGTGAATGATGGTGAAAGTTTTTCTTTTTCGGGCCACCCTGCCTTGGTGGGAATCGGCCAGTGTGATAATAAAAAAAACAAATTATAAAAATAATAAATTTGTAATATTTATGAAGGGATTCAGGGAAATCAGTTTGCTAGACTTGAGTCCTGGAGGTAGAAAGTACAGTGCATGCATTCTGAAGAAGGGGTGGAGATAGGTTGCGGTTTTTGAATTGTAGTATCAGTCAATGTGCTTCTGGTTAAGGTGTTTCTTCTTTTTTAGGGTCACCCTACTTTGGTGGGAAGCAGTTGCTGTGTTAAAAGAAGACAAAATCTGCAGTCTAGGGAAGGAAGGGTAGGGGGTCTTCCTTGGAAAGATTGTAGGGAAGGGATAAAGAAGGTTTTGTATGCGAGGGGCTTGGATATCCAACAAGTGTGTGAGTATGTTAGATAGGAATGAGTGGAATCAAGTGATTTTTATGACAATGTGCTATTGGAGTGTAGGCAAGGTAACATTTACAAAGGGATTCACAGAAACCAGTTAGCTGGACTGGGTCCTGGAGGTGGAAAGTACAGTGCCAGCACTCTGACGGAGGGGTGGGGATATTGCGGATTGGAGTGGCATCTGTTCTGTAATGTCAGCATACTTCTGGCAATACAGTAATGGAGTGAGAAATGTTGAAAGTGTTTAAACTCCTTTGTGTCACCCTACTTTGGTGGGAGGTGGCTGGTGTATCAAAAGAAAGTTGGATGTTGGATAGAAGGTGAATCACTGTAACTGTACATTTTAGTGTTAATTCACTGGTAATATACAGGAATATTGAATATGCAGGATGTTGCCTAGAACACAGAGCAAGTCAAGACACGAATTTCTCTTGCATCAAAATAATTTACCAGTTGGCTGAATTTTGTTCATCAACTCATTTGTATGTAATGGAGAATGTTTAATAAGTGAAATCTTGTTTCATCCATGGTTTTGTTATACATCTTTCCTGGATTATTATCCTTTTTTTGTCTCCTTCTTGCAGGTACCTCCAAAGTTTTGAGGAATTTTATCGTAAACTTGGCTGCACTATGGTGAGTAATCCACGGGGCTCTCGCACAAGACACCGTTCTGGCCGAAGCTTGATTCGTGACTGTGATCGAACACCTCGTGCTTGTAAAAAGAAAGAAAATGATAGTTGTGACTCAACAGAGGATGAAACTGAAAAGAAAGAAGAGGAGGAGGAGGTTAAGAAAGTTGAGAAAAAAAAGAGTGATAAGGAAGATAGCAAAAAAGTTGATGAGAAAAAGGAAGGAGAAAAGAGAGAGCCAGATAAAAAAGAAACCGATAGAAAAGATATTGAAAAGAAAAAAGAAGACACCAGAAGTGCAAAGTGAGTATTGTGTTCTCTGTTCATTTATCGGCAGTGTTTTAACAAGTTGGTTTTTATTGTAAAGTTTTCTTAGGTCAGGGGGCTTCAAGGAAACACTGTCTGGTAGTTGTGGTACTTTCATACATATTGGCAGACTTGCACTCCCACAGCAATTAGGTGGTGGGAAGGGCATACCTGGAGGGTATTCCAAGGGTCAGCACCCCTGAGACCTGGTCCACAACCAGGCCTTGTGGTGGATCAGGGCCTGATCAACCAGGCATGCCAGCACATTTGCAAGGGTGTTGCACTTTAGTGGGTTATTTGTATTGTGATTCCTGCACAGTCCTTGGCAAGACATTTGAGGACTGAGTGTGTTTCTTCTTTTGGGCTTCCTTACTTTGAGGGAAGATAACTAGTGTGTTAAAAAGGAGAGTAAGAGTTAGGGCTAGTCAGCTGTAAGGTCAGAGTTGACTAGTAGTGGGGCTTACAGTGCCTTGCATAGCTCTGTAATGGTTAGTATTAATATAGCCTTTCAGTAATCTGTAATGTAGTAGTTTCTTCCAAGGAGGTGCTATTATGCTAATGAAATGTTCTTGTGCCAAGGAATTGGAGCTGCCCTCACCTTTCTTGGATCGAACCTTATTACCTTTAGGCACTACACGGCCTCTACAGGTTTAGCACTGTCCCATTAATATTATAATAATATTAAAGTGGTAATTTTAAACTTGTTCTTTAGGCTCATTAGTATCTTTCCCACGTGTGTGTTGTCTGTATCACTATATAAATTGTAAGTATGAAAGCAGAATTAAGGCAACATGCTTGTTGCCACCACCAGCTAGAGCTAAGGGTATGAGCTGTGAGGAAAGGCTAAAGGTTCTTCTGGAAAGATGTAACAACATATAAAATACTCAGGAATTGATATGGCAGAGAGGCATTCGGGGGCAAAGCTGGAAGCTAAAGACAGGCGAGTCAGAGATGTTAGTTTCAGAGTGGTCGGGAAGTGTAATGAACTTGATGAAGTGGTGAAGGCACGTACCGTAAATAGTTTTAAAAATAGGGCCCATGAGGCTAAGAGAGTGAACCTGGCAAGCAGCAAGTTGAGAGGCTGGGCTAGGAGCTAAGGTTGAACCTTTGCAACTACATACTTTATGCATTGCTTTCACATGGGATTTAAGTTAACATTTTGCCTCAGTCTTTTTATTCGTCACTTCTCCATCATCATCATATTCCCAGTATAACCAACCCGAATGGAACATTTTCACCTCTCTTACTGCTGCTGTATAGTGAACTAATATTTTACCCATATTTAAGTAAAGAATTGTCTTAATTTCTTGTGTTTGCAAATACAGTGGACCCTCGACCAACGATGGCATCGATTAATGATAAATCCGACTAGCGATACATTTTAACGCAAAAATTTTGCCTCGACTAGCGGTAAAAAACTCGACCAACACTATTCGTTCCGTCTGAGACGCGTCCACTTCTGGCCAGTGTTTACAAGCCAGCCAGCCACCGCGGTCGCTTCCAAGCATACAATCGGAACATTTCATATTATCACAGCCTTTTCAGTGATTGCACCTGCAAAATAAGTCACCATGGGCCCCAAGAAAGCTTCTAGTGCCAACCCTACAGCAAAAAGGGTGAGAATTACTATGGATATGAAGAAAGAGATCATTACTAAGTATGAAAGTGGAGTGCGTGTCTCCGAGCTGGCCAGGTTGTACACAAAACCCCAATCAACCATCGCTACTATTGTGGGCAAGAAAATGGCAATCAAGGAAGCTGTTCTTGCCAAAGGTGCAACTATGTTTTTGAAACTGAGATCGCAAGTACTCGAAGATGTTGAGAGACTGTTATTGGTGTGGATAAACGAAAAACAGATAGCAGGAGATAGCATCTCTCAAGTAATCATATGTGAAAAGGCTAGGAAGTTGCATGATGATTTAATTAAAAAAATGCCAGCAACTAGTGGTGATGTGAGTGAATTTAAGGCCAGCAAAGGCTGGTTTGAGAGATTTAAAAGGAAGGGAAGTAACCCCGGAAAAGGACTTGCCACCTCAAGTCCTAATGGAAGGGGATTCCCCTTCTAAACACTAAGACCATCAACACTCTCCCCTCTTCCCATCCCATCAATCATCACCTGATCTTCAATAAAGGTAAGTGTCATGTAACTGTGCATGTCTTCTTCAGTTTGTGTGTATTAAAATTAATATTTCATGTGGTAAAAACAATTTTTTTTTCATACTTTGGGGTGTCCGCAGATTAATTTGATTTCCATTATTTCTTATGGGGAAAATTAACTTGACTAACTATAATTTTGACTAACGATGAGCTCTCAGGAACGGATTAATAGCGTTAGTCGAGGGTCCACTGTACATAGTTTTGTGGATTACCCACCATTGTGTATGATTCCTTGGGAGCATCATGTTTAAAAGAACGTGCCAAAAAAAAAATGTTTTTTACTGTGTATTTTAAAGTTTAAGGGGAGTTTGAGGCATGTTGCCTTTGTGAATGTATTTCACGCTAGTATTCTTGATGTATAGTAGGCATGTGTGAGCATGATAGATAGGAGTGAGTGGAAACACATGGTGTTTGGGACTTGATGAGCTGTTGGAGCGTGAGAAAATTAATATTTTTTGAAGGGATTCATGGAACCCGGTTAGCCATACTTGACTCCTGGAGGTGGGAAGTACAATGCCTACACTTCAAAGTAGGGGTTTGGGATATTGGCTGTTTAGAATGACATCTAAACTATTGTATTTGAGTGCCTCTGGCAAGACAGTGATATTGTGAATGATGGTGAAAGTGTTTCTTTTTTGGGTCACCCTACCTCAGTGGAAGATGGCCAGTGTGTTAAAAAAAAAAAAAAAAATCTTGACATCCTATACCTGTTAACCTTGAGGGCTAGCATGTTGCACAGTTTGCTAGTGGTTCACTCTGATTCATGCAGTTCTCATCAGTACCTGATCTCATCAATACCTCATCTCATCAACACGCTCACGCATGCAAGTGTGCGTGAGTGTGTTAAATAGGGGTGAATGGAGACGAATGGTATTTGGGACCTGACGAGCTGTTGGAGTGTGAGCAGGGTAATATTTAGTGAAGGGATTCAGGGAAACCGGTTATTTTATATAGCCAGACTTGAGTCCTGGAAGTAGGAAGTACAATGCCTGTACTTTAACCCTTAAACTGTCCAAACATAGATCTACGTTTTTTCAACATTTGAAAACATGTAAAAAAAACTTTGATCTACATTTTTTTTTTTTATATTTGAAAATACAGTGGACCCCCGGCATACGATATTAATCCGTTCCTGAGAGCTCATCGTATGCCAAAATTATCGGAAGGCGAATTAATTTTCCCCATAAGAAATAATGGAAATCAAATTAATCCGTGCAAGACACCCAAAAGTATAAAAAAAAAAGTTTCACCACATGAAATATTAAGTTTAATGCACACAAACTGAAGAAGACATGCACAGTTAGTAGTACTCTACTGACAATAGAATACATGACACTTACCTTTAATGAAGATCAGGTGGTGATTGATGGGATGGGAGGAGGGGAGAGTGTCGAAGTTGTTAATGTTTAGAAGGGGAATCCCCTTCTATTAGGACTTGAGGTAGCAAGTCCTTTTCTGGGGTTACTTCCCTTCTTCTTTTAATGCCACTAGGACCAGCTTGAGAGTCACTGGACCTCTGTCGCACAACAAATCTGTCCATAGAGCTCTGTACCTCCCATTCCTTTATGATTCATCTAAAATGGGCCACAACATTGTCATTGTAATAGTCACCAGCATGGCTTGCAATAGCTGTGTTAGGGTGATTTTCATCCATAAAGGTTTGCAGCTCAACCCACTTTGCACACATTTCCTTAATTTTTGAAGTAGGCACAATGGATTCCACAACTGGCATAGCACAGTTTGGCACTAGAAGCTTTCTTGGGGCCCATGGTGACTTATTTTGCAGAAACAAGCACCAGAAACACTGTGATAATATGGAATGTACCGAATGTATACTTAGATGCGAGCACACTGGCTGGCTTGTAAACACTGGCACTCATGTGGACGTATCCCAGACGAATCGCATGTGGCGTTTTTTTTAACAAGTGGCGAGGCAAAATTTTTGTGTTAAAATGTATCGAATACCGGATTTAACGTATACCGATGCCATCGAATGCCAGGGGTCCACTGTATGTTAAAAAACATAGATCTACTTTTGGAGCACTACGCATGTGAACGTAGATCTGTTTGGACAGTTTAAGGGTTAAAGGAGGGGTTTTGGGATATTGGCAGTTTGGAGGGATATGTTGTGTATCTTTATACGTATATACGTACTTCTAAACTGTTGTATTCTGAGCACCTCTGCAAAAACAGTGATTATGTGTGAGTGAGGTGAAAGTGTTGAATGATGATGAAAGTATTTTCTTTTTGGGGATTTTCTTTCTTTTTGGGTCACCCTGCCTCGGTGGGAGATGGCTGACTTGTTAAAAAAAAAAAAAAAAGGATAGAGGAAAGAGATTGATCAGGAGGGTGTATAAATCCAGAGTGGACAGGCATGATGGTGCTGAATAACCCAGGAAGGGTAAGGAAGAGGGTTGAGGGTGAAGGAGGATTTGAACATTCAAGAGGTATGTGTGAGTATGTTAGAGTGGAGTGAGTGGGAGCATTTGGTTTTTGGGAACTGTGGGTTATTGGAGTGTGAACAGGGTAACATGGTATGATTCTTGGAAAACGGGCTAGCTGGACTTAATTACGGAAATAGGAAGTGTAGTGCTTATGCTGTGAACAATGGGTGGGGTTGTTATAGTTCAAAGGGGTCATTTGAATCTAGATATTCGTGCACTTCTAGCAGTAAAGTTACTGAATGAATAATAATGAATGTATTTTCTTCTTGAGTAAGCCTATCTTGATGCAGAATTTTATGTAGTATGTAAAATTTAAAAAAAAAAAAAAAAGTACCCAGTAAAATACGTAACAAATGTAGTAATACGTACAGTGGAACCTCGGTTTCGTATTCCTTA